CTTCCACCAGCTCCCTCAGTACCCTTGGGTGGATCCCATCCAGCCCCATAGATTTGTGTGTGTCTACGTGGTGTAGCAGGTCACTGACCATTTCCCCTTGGATTATGGTGGCTCTGTTCTGCTCCCCGTCCCCGTCTTCCAGCTCAGGGGGGCTGGGTACCATCCCTCAAACACTGGCATGTCACGCTCAGGATTATCTCTGTCAAGCCTCTTTTTATCCCCTTCCCCTTCAAATCTAGTTTAAAGCGCTTTCAATGAGCCCTGCTAACTCCTGTGCAAAGATCCTTTCCCCTCTTTGAGACAGGTGTACCCCATCAGTTGCCAGCAGGCCTGCTGTCATATAAACTGACCCATGATCAAAAAACCCCCAAATTCTGCTTGTGCTACCAGGCTTAGAGTCAGGTATTGATCTGCTGGTTCTTCCTGTTTCTTCCCTCATCGTTCCCTGTAACTGGAGGGATAGAGGAGAACACTGCCTGTACTCCTGATTCCTTAACCAGTCGTCGCACTCCCTGAAGTCTTCTCTTGATTGCCCTCAGACTTCTTGTTGCAACCTCATTGCTGCCTACCTGAAAAATCAACACAATAATCATAGATCTGTCTACAGTTTTCTGAAAGGGCTTCTCTTCTATGACAACCAACATTTGATACGAGAAAGGGATTGTGCCCTGCTTGAAAAATGGAGGAAATTAGCAACAGCATACTAATGTTAATCTACCATTTTTAAGCTTGTCCGATGTATTTTAATAAGGATTTAAGTAGTTGATATTTTATACTACTAAAAAAACAAATTGTCAAAGTAATTATTTATCAGAAAAATTGATCTGCTGTTATTTGATTTCAAACTTTAACCTTCCTAAGTCTATCTGAAGTTTCCCCCCCAAGTCATTATCTTTATTACGCAAAACTGACAAAATCAACTTCAGATCTTACAACACAGAAAAGAGTGTAAAGCAATGTTAATAATTTAAGAAAGCACTTGCCTCTGTCCTTGCAAAGGGTCCTTCTATGCTGAACATACACTTGTTAATAAACAATTTAATTACAGTCTACAAAGTTCTGAAATTTTACTGGGTCTCATCTGACATCTATTTCACAAGGGATAATTAAATAGAAATACTTGTAACTGCTGCAAAGCATATTATAGGACGACACTTAAGGTTTGTTTCTGTGTAGTGCATGCATTGTTCTGCACAAGAAAAATCTTTGCTGTTTTAGTGAAGGACTAATGCAGTGTGCTGTTTATAAAAATTTTGTAACAATACAGCTTAATACAGTAGAACCAATAAATAATTTTATGAAGTCATAAAATGGAAAATAGGCTGTTCATCACTCACATTTTAACACTCCACTTACAAAAGAAAGAAAAAGAAATACAGAGGAGTTTCAGAATAACACCTGACTGACACATCTGGAGCTAAAACCAGGAAAATTATGCAGACCTGCTTTTTATTTAGGTGATGTTAAGGATCATCCTTTCAAAGTACTCTCCTGTTGTGCGGCACTTTGCATTTTGCGCTTTCAATGAACACTGATCCCCAAAGCACTTAAGTATAACTAAAGGAAGCTACCTAAAATCCATCAAGATGGATAACATAGTCCATTCATTCATTTTCTAGATAGTACTACTTACTGCATTAATTATATCCAGCAGAGCTAGAAAAATGAGCAGTAATTACTAACTAAAAAACAAGGCTAAAATTTAAAACTAACAGTATTTTTCAACTTTAAGAAATATTGCAATATTTATCTACAAATATTTGTGAAACAATGATCCATGCCAGTGCCATCTTACAAAACCTCTCTAAGGAAATAAATCAGATGAACAACTTCAAAGAGAACTGGGATTTCTGGTTTGTTTTTTAATTTTAGAAATAAAATGGCCAAGGATCATAAATATGTTTAACCTATAGATAAATAGAAATATTTATCTACATAACACTACCTAAAAATCAATGAATGTCTGCTTTATCAAAACCTGAATCACGATGTCTTAATAAATCTCACAAATTATTTTAAATTATTTTAATTATTTAAAAATCTACCTTTAGAAGAAATGAAGATCCATCCACTTTTGCTTTTCCTACCAGCTGGCAAGTGAGATCAAAGAACAGCATTGGCTGAACACCAGACAATTTTGCTGCTGGTCCAGAGATGGAAAGATTGCTGGCTGCCCAAACACGTAATTCTTCTATTGTTTTCTGTTCTTCATTCATGAAAGTGTACACTTTGCTAGAGGTTCGAGGAACTACTGGTGCTCCTACAGTTCCATCAAATGTCAGGGATGCAAATCCCACACTGGTAATTCCCTGCATCTGTCCATTGTATTCCCTGATCTGCAACAAAATATGAAGAGGGAAAAAAAATGGTTGCACTGCATCAAAATGTACATACATTTCTGTTTTACCATGTACACAAAGACCATTGATCACTTTTGCCCCTGATGCTATTAGGAGAACTGAGTCAAAATACAAACAAAACAAAAAAAAGGAAATTAACATTATCAAGTGTCATGGTTTAGCCCCAGCCAGCAACTCAGTCCCATGCAGCTGCTTGCTCAGTCCCCCACGGTGGGACGGGGGAGAGAATCGGAAGAGTAACAGTGAGGACACTCATGGTTTGAGATAAAGACAGTTTAATAAGTAAAGCAAAAGCCACGCACACAAGCAAAGCAAAACAAGGAATCCATTTACCACTCCCCATGGGCAGGCAGGTGTTCAGCCATCTCCAGGGAAGCAGGGCTGCACCACGCATAATGGTTTCTTGGGAAGACAGACGCCATCACTCTAAAGATCCCCCCTCCCCTTCCTTCTTTGTCGTCCCAGCTTTATATACTGAGCATGACGTCATATGGTATGGAATATCCCTTTGGGCAGTTTCGGTGAGCTGTCCCGGCTGTGTCCCCTCCCAGCTCCCCGTGCACCCCCAGCCTGCTCGCTGGCAGCCCAGCACGAGAAGCTGGACTGTCCTTGACTGTTTAGCAACAACTCAGAACAACAGCACATTGTCAACAGTTTCTCATCCCAAATCCAAAACACAGCCTCACACTAGTTTCTATGAAGAAAATTAACTCTACTCTGGCTGAAACCAGGACATCAAGAAAGTAAAGTGAAAAAGCAGAAAATATAAGCTAACAATTTTTTTTTTGAAGACACAAATACCTACCTGTAAATATACAGCATCAGTGCAGAGTACTTTATTCACAAATCTCAAAATGTTTGTGTGGGGAATAGATCAGGACTGCTTTTACAGAGGGGGCAACTGAGGCACAAATAAATTAATTTTTAGGGGTACACAATGGCAGAGAAAAGTTATTATGGATTCCTGTTTTCTGCCTCTCACAATAGCCTTGTTTCCTGATATTATGGAACTGAAAAAGAAAGTATCAGTTCTAGGAGCTTTTTTTTCTTTTTTTTTGTCTATAAAGCAAACAGTCACCAGCTTTCATCCCTTGAATTATGAATACAGCTTCCACAATTACTCTTACGTGTACTGCCCTGCACATGGCAGGTCCCATGTATCCTGCTGATTTAGGTGTCTATCTGCTACCATATAGAAAACAGTGTTCAAAGTCTGAAGCATTCCTTCAAGGATCTAGTTGAGCCTTATTTGTTCCTTGCACTTTTTTATATATATATATATATATATA